TTATATAGGAAAGAGAAAAATGCAATAATTCTGGCTTTTGTATTTATGTAGTTACCTTTACTAGTGTTCTTTACTTGTCCACATAGCTTTGAATTACTGTCTAGCATACTTGTATTTTTGTGTAAAGAACTCCCTTTAGCATTTAATGTAAGGCAGGCAGATTTACTGGCAATGAACTTTGTTTTATCTAGGAATGTCTTTATTTCTTTATTACTTGAAGGATTGTTTTGCTGGGTATAGTATTATACTTTTTCCTCTCAGCACTTTAAATATGTCATCCCACTGTTTTCTATAGTTTCTCCTGGGAAATCAGCTGTTAATCTTTTTTTTCTTTTTCTTTTTTTTTTTGGAGACGAATCTTGCTCTGTTGCCCAGGCTGGAGTGCAGTGGCAGAATCTCGGCTCACTGCTACCTCCGCCTCCCAGGTTCAAGCAATTCTCCTGCCTCAGCCTCCTGAGTAGCTGGGATTACAGGCACATGCCACCATGCCTGGCTAATATTTGTATTTTTAATAGAGACAGGGTTTCACCATGTTGTTCAGGCTGGCCTTGAACTCCTGACCTCAGGTGATCCACCTGCCTGGTCATCCCAATCAGCTGTTAATCTTATTGAGGACCCCTTGTGCATAATGAACCACTTTCTTTTCTTTCTGAGACCTAGTCTTGTTTTGTCCCCAGGCTGAAGTGCAGTGGCACGATCATGGCTCACTGCAGCCTTGTCCTCCCAGGTTCAGATGATCCTTCTTCCTCAGCCTCCTGAGTAGCTGGGACTACAGGCATGTACCACCACCCTTGGATGATTATTATTTGTAGAGATGGGGGTCTCCTTATGTTTCCCAGGCTGGTCTCAAGCTGCTAGATTCAAGTGATTCTCCTGCCTCAGCCTCCTAAAGTATTGGGATTACAGACTTGAGCCACGGTGCTTATCCAAGTACTACTTTCTTGCTGCTTTCAGGATTCCTTTTGTCCTTTGACAGTTTTGATTACAACATGTCTTGGTGTGGATCTCTTTATTTTTCTTGAAGTTTATTGAGCTTCTTGGATGTTTAGATTTATGTTATATCAAATTTGGGAAATTTTCAGTCATTATTTCTTCAAATATTCTTTCTTCCCTTTTCTCTCTTGCCTCTGTGACTCCAATTATACATATGTTGGTATGCTTGATGGTGTTCCATAGGCATCTTAGAGTCTGTTGATTTCCTTTCATTCTTTTTTCTTTCCGTTCTTCAGACTGGATAAATTCAACTGACCTATCTTCAAGTTTGCTGATTCTTCTGTCAGTTCAAATCTGCCATTGAAACCCTTTTGTGAAGTTTTTTTTGTTTGTTTTGATTATTGTAGTTTTTAGCTCTAGAATATCTATTTGGTCCTTTTTCTTTTTTTTTAAATAATTTCTGTCTCTTTGTTGGTTTTCTGTTTGTTGGGACATTGTTCTCCTGGTTTCTTGTCATTCTTTTTTTCACTTTTCCTTTTTTGTTTTTTGAGATAGGGTCTTGCTCTATTGCCCAGACTAAAGAGCAGTGGTGTAATCATGGCTCACTGCAGGCTTGACCTTGCAGGCTCAAGTAATTCTCCCACCTCAGCCTCCCAAGTAGCTTGTGAGAAGTGCCACCATGCCTGGCTAATTTGTTTTTATTTTTTATTTCTTGTAGAGAGGGGGGTCTTGCTATGTTACCAAGGCTTCTTGTTATTCTGTATCCATGGTTTCTGTTAGCTTGTTGAACATATTTAAGACAGCTGATTTAAAATCTTTGTCTAGTAAGTCCAATGTCTATTCTTCTCAGTCTCTTTCTGTCAATTTCTCCTGTGTATGTACCATACTTTTTAAAATTTATTTGCATGCTTTGTAACATTTTGTTGAAAACAGGATGTTTTGAATATTATAATGTGACTCCGGAAATGAGACCCTTCCTCCTGAGTTTTTGTTGTTTGCTGTGAGTTGTAGTTGTTCAGTGACTTTTCTAAACTCTTTCTAAATTCTGTGTTCTTTGCTGTGCTTGTTCTCTAAAGTCTCTTTCTTAGCCACTGTTCAGCTGATGCTTTATTTTCTGTTTTTAGAGATGGGGTCTCACTTGCTCAGGCTATAGTGCAGTGGCATCATGACTCACTGTAGCCATGAACTACTTTGCTTAAGTGATCCTCCCACGTGAGTCAGTGGGATTATAGGCATGAGCCACCACTAGTGTTTTGAGAGACTTTTTTGAATACCTAGAGCCTCCCTCTGCCACCTCCCAAAAAAAGAGTAGAAAGAAGAGAAGACAACAACCTTCTCCCCGTCTTTGCAGAATGGCTGTGTTGGGGGACACTCATTGCTTAGCTCTGCTGTTTACAGATCTGCCCTAGCCTTCATTTCTTGCTTGTGCTGAACCTAAAGTTCAGCTAGAGGCTTTTTTCAGATCTTTTCTGAGCATGCTTCCTGCCCTGGGCATATATGCATGACTTTCTAAATTCCTAACTTTAGTGTAAGTGGACATTGTTGAATGCCCTAATTTCCAAAAGAAACTTTCTCCCAGCTTTTCCTCTCAGGCTGTTGGTGTGTCTGTTTCCCTCAACTGAAATCTTTTGCCCCTGGTGGCTACAGATTGTTATTTGGGGTACAAGGTTTTTGAGCAATCCCCTCTAAATAGACCCCTCTTTGCCCTTTTCCAAGTTAAGGAAAACAAAGACAAACATATTATGTCAGTCCTTCAGGTAACCTTAAGATTCAAAACAGGGAAACGCAATTCTTTCAAATAAGTTGTACTCCCTCTGGAAGCAGGGACTAGGGAGTATGTTCCCAGAATGAGAATGCAGACTGCTGTCTTCAAGACTGCCACTGGGGAAGGGAAAGAGAGAGGGCAAGTCAACATGCGGCCAACCTTTTCTACTGTTTTTAGTTGCTTTTTTATTGATTCAGTTTGCTGAGTTGCTATAAATGTATTTTCTGCAGTTGTGACAAAGCCGATTGTGACAGTTTTTGCTTGATTTTTCAGTCATCTGTGGAGGGATGGGCTGTTAAGAGTTAATCTACTTCACCATTTTCACTGATGTCCCTTAAGAAAGACTTTTCCTTTGTTTTTAGAGACAAAACAAAAATGTTTTGTGCTGTGTTGCCTCGAACTCCTGGCCTCAAGTGATACTCCTACCTCAGCCTCCTAAATAACTGGGACTACAAGTGTGTGCTGCTGTGCCCTGCTCCCAAGACAGATTTTTTTTTTTTTTTTTTTGAGACAGAGTTTCGCAAGTCCTCAGTAGTTGGAACAACTCTACTTAGA